GCAAGTGCAGGATCATGTTTGGTCTGTTACCTGTACCAACCAATTAACATACTGATGGATGCAGCTTCCTAGACAGTTCTTGTCAACCCCATATTTCATAGAAACTGTGAGTACTGCAGCCCAGTCTAGCCAGCCTACCAGACCTAGTTCTCATGCAAACCAGTGGGCGCTGTGGTCTAGTTGGGGCAACCTTCCAATAACCCCTAACAACCCCGAACAGGACTGCTACCAGCTCTGGTTTTTGTGCATGCCAGCCTCTGCTGTGGCCTAGCCTGACCCAGCCCACATCCCATCTGTCTCTTGTGCACATCTATTGATGTTGTGGCTTAGCTCAGCCCAACCTGCTCCCAGACCTGACCCTCACATATGCCAATAGGTGCCACTGCCTTGTCCAGCCTGGCCCACCCCCAGACCTGGTTCTTGTGTTCACCAGCAGTAAGTGCAGCCTACCAAAGGAGTGCTCACAGTTCCCCAGCTAGGCATGTTCTCAGCTCTGGATCTTGTACTTGCCAAGGAGTACTGTGATCTATAGCCTGGCATGATTTGCGCTCAGTCCTGACATTTGCCAGCTAGTGCTGTGTCCTAGTCTGACTGTCCCACACTTTCTCATGCCAGTGGGTGAGACTGCCTGGCCCACCCTGGGCTATCCCCAGTCCCAGCTCTCATGCTCACCTGTGGCACAGCAGGGGAGTCCCGGAGGTTCCTCTAATATGCATGCCCACAGCCCTGGGTCTTGTGTATGCTGGCAGGTGCCGCAACCCAGTCTGAGATGACCCGCCCTCAGTCATGGCAACCAAGAACAGGTGCTACAGCCTGGCTCAGCCTAATCTGCCCCCAGTCCAGCTCTTGCCAATGAGTGCAGCAGCCTAGCCCAGCCTTGCCCATTCCAAGCACCAGCCCTCATATGAGCTTGCAGGTGTTGTAGTCCAGTTTGGCCTGTACCCTATCCTGACTCTCACAAGTGCCAGTGTTTGCTGAGGACTGACCCTGCATGGCCTGCCCCCAAACCTGGCTCACTTGTATACCAATGGGTGTTATAGCTCAGCCTGGTCTGGTCTGCTCCCATCACCAGCTAAACAAGGGAGTTCCCCAAGTTCCCCTGCCAGACCCACTCCCACTCCTAGTAATGGATTGCCCGTGAGTTAGCAGGTGCTGCTGTCCAGGCTGTCATGGCTGGCCCCCACTCCTGGCATTGACTAGTGGATACTGAGTCCTGGTTCAAGTGGCCTATGTCCAATCTGGCTCTCACTGATGCGTGCTACAGCCTAGTCCAGCCTGGTCTGCCCATAGCCCTGGCTCTCATACTCATTAGCAGGAGCTTCAGCCTAGCAGAGGAGTCCCCAGAGTTCCCCTACCAATCCTAGGTTATGTCCTGGTATGGCTTACCCAGAGTCTCAGCTCTTACTGGCAGATGTTGGTCCCACATCCTGTCCTAGTTTTTGTGTATGCCACTGGGTGTTGTAGCCTGGCCCGGTCCAGCCAGTCCACCAACCCAGCTCACACACATGTTGATGAGTGCTGTGGCCTTGCCTGGCCTGGCCTGGCTGTTCCCAGCCCTGGCTCTTGTATTCCCCACTGGGAGCTGTGGCCTCATAAGGGAGTTTCTTAAGTTTCTCTACCAGACCTACTCCCAGCCCTGGATCCCACACATGCCAGCAGGTGCAGTGGCCTTGCTTGGCATGGTCTGCCCTCAATCCCAGTCTTTGCATATGTTGGCAGGTGCTACAGCCTGGGTCAGCCTAGCTTCTTCTCAACCCCAGCTCTTGCCAAGTGTGGGTTTCTTTCAGGTAAGTTATGTGGTCTAATCTAGCTCAGCCCGTCACTATCCCCAGCTCTCCATGTAAACCAGCAGGTGCTATAGTCCCAGAGAGATGAACCCTACAGAGTCTGCTCCCAGACCAGGTTCTCTCCTATTCTGATGAGTGCTACAGTCCAGCCTGATGTGGCCCATCCCCTGCTCCAACATTAAGTACTCCTCCTGCTCTGATGAGTTTAAATAGTATGTGGGTAAAGAGTTGGAAGCCAACTGCCTTCTTCACTTAGAGGTCCCAAATTTCTTGTGACTTCTACAGCACAGCTTTTCAACTTGGTTAAAAAGCTGCAAGGGTGCAAGGTACCCATGGACCAGCCACTGGGGCAGCCTGGAGTGGCTGTCCCTACCTTTCTCGTGGGCAAGTAACAGCACTGCCTGCAGGTGTGCGGTGAAAACAGTGCTTGAATTATTGTGGCTTTTCACGTTCTCAATTCTCCTTCTAGAATCTACCTCCGTGTCTACTAAAGCCAACTGGATCTTGTCCTGCTGATTCCTCTCTTGCTAGTTAACACTCCTAGCTCTGATGTCTGGCATTTCCTGATAGTCTACTTTTCTTTTTTAGATTTATCTGAAAGGTAGGGTCTCTCTCTCTCACACACACACGCAACACACACACACACACAACACAGATGAGAGAAAGAGAGAGAAAGTGTTGTATTCACTGATTCATTCCCTAGATGGTTACAATGCTCAGGGTTGGTCCAGGCAGAAGCCAGGAGCCCAGACCTACATATGGGGCTTCATACAACAGTACAGTAGCCCAAGCACTTGGGTCCCCTGTTGCCTTCCCAGGTGCATTAGCAGGGAGCTGGACTGCACGCAGAGCAACCAGGACTCGCACAGGCACTCTGATAGAGGATGCCAGCATTGGAAGTGGAGCCTTAACAATGCTGGCCTAGGCAGCCTACCTTTCTCATCTGGTTTCTCAAATATCTGTTAAGTGCTGAACAAACCCAGTCTCCTCTGTTTCCTGAACAGGTTCTGATGGTTTGTCTCCTGCCTTTGAGATGAATCACTGTGGTTGGAAAGCCTGACCCATGATGCCTTTCCTGTTTCGACGTTACCTTCCTCTGTCTCTCCAGCTGACCCGTGTGGGATTCCTTTGCTCCTAGGTGTGTGCTCACAGCCTGCCCATTGCAGCTCAGTCCTTCAGCCCATCTCACAAGGATAAGCCCAGTGCCCAGCACACAGCAGGCAGGTGCTGGTGGGTGAAGGAATGTAGGAGTCATGGAGATCTCGTGCCAGTATAAGAAGCACATTGAAATTTCTCTTCCCCAAGTGGGAGTGAGGAGCACTAGCCAGTACTCAGACGAAGGCAAGACCGATAGTTCCGACCCACGAATACATGACCCTGGGCAGAATCTCCACCCCCCACCCCCCCACAGAATCTACTTTCCTTCAGAACTTCAAAGTTGCTGATGGTCTTGGGGCCAGTGCTGTGGTGTAATGGGCAAAAGTCACTGCCTGCGACAGTGGCATCCCATGTGTGCCTGTTCAAGTTTTCCTGCTCCACTTACAATCCAGCTCCCTACTAATGAGCCTGCAAAAGCAGCAAGGATGGGCCAAGTGCTAAGGCTCCTGCCTCCACAGGAGACCCCAAAGAAGCTCCTGGCTTCAGACTGGTCCAGCTTGCTCCCTTTGAGATCATTTGGGGAGCGAACCAGCAGATGGAATCCCTTTCTGTGTCTCTTCCTCTGTCTCTCTGTAAGTCTGCCTTTTAAACAAATAAATCTTAACAAACAAGCAAAAGACAAAACTGCTCTTCTTTAGTTTTCAACTGAAGAAAATCCAGGGGAAATATTTTTCTTCCTCCAGCTCCAAGTGTGTGTGTGGTCCTTGTGTCGGTTGCTCGCTTGGATAGAGAGAAGGGCGGGAGAGGCCCTGCCTTTCTATATGCTGCCCTCTTGAACCGCATACCTCAAACATATTCCCTGGCCTGTTCTTGGCCTAGGACATGGATGACCGCTCCCCATCCCTACCCTGTAGCCTCTCCCTATTTTTCCATCTCTCAGGAGAGTGGTAATGGAGTGTGCTGAGCTGTGGTTATTCCACCTTTGGCCCCTATATTTCAGCCATGGCTGAGAACTTTGCCCTCAACTACCAGTCTATTTGCAAAATCAAATCCCTGAGGAGTTTCAGGGATGAGTACAAACCTCCCCCTTTTAAATGCAGAAGTTGAAGGAACGCCAATAAGAACTGGCTCTGTTTCTCCAGCTGGAGAGGGCTGATTATATACAGAACCTAGCTTTGTTGTGGGGTACAGTCTAGGTCCTTGTTCTCCTGGTGCCCACCACACGGCACATTTCCATCCCTGTCAATCATCAGGTCAACTTGAACTCGTCTATGGTGGCATTTTCCTCGTGGTCTTGCAAACTTGAGTCTGGTGATATTAAGAGTTACATTTCCATCTTCTGTAAGACAGCATCAAAGTAGGGAAGCAATCTCAGGTGAAATGTCACATGGCAATTGGCTTTGGCAATAGCAGGTGGTGCTGCGAGCTCTTCCCTTTGCAAGGGAGTAAAACAATGGGAACCGAAATGTCCACATGGCTTTCCCTGCACACAGACATGCCAAACAGAAAGCCAGAGCCCATAGTAGCGCTTGGGATCTTTATGCCAGATCCTGGGGGGGTGGGGGTTGGTGCTTTGCAAGCTGAGTAACTTTTATCAGATGCCTGTTAAAGCAAGACCCTTAACCAAGGCTGAGAAGGATAGTGTGCTGGCAGGGTGGCATTCCCCGTGTCCCCGACAGAAGCAAGAAGGCATGAACCAGGCATGTGGCACTACCACAGCCACTGCCACCCACAGGCCTGGGTTTGACCTTCAGCAGGCAGGGAGGCACTGCTTGTGAGGTGTGTTGGGCTCACTCGGGGACCTTGCTAGGACCCCTCGCTGGCACAGGAGAGCCTCTCTATTTGATCAAGTTCTTTTTGCTCCAGGTCAACGTAACTCTGTGTCAACCAAGTCGCTCCCTGCCACCACACACAATGCCTTACATGGATTTCTACTAACTGGTTTGGGTCTCTGTGGAGGAGGAAGAAATGGGCCAAAGTTCACTGGGTTCATTTAGTTGACAGATCTCAGCTTCGTGCCTCTCCCAGCCTGTGAAGAAGCTCCATGGGGTCAACTTCGAGATAAACTCAGCCTTTGAGATCAGGAGAGAACAAAAAGACTTTTCTAGAGTGAGATAGAGTGTCATTGATGCTTTATTTACATGCGTCACCATCTCTTTTACAAACTAGATTATGGGTTTAAATGGAATACACAAGGCAATATCTACAAACACCAAGGAAAGTACGGCATCATCATCATTGCTAATTCATTTGGAAAGGGGAAAAATTCCCAAATCAAACTGGTTTTGATCTTTGAGAAGAAAAGCCGGTGAAGTTAATTTGTGGCAACAGATGGTTAGACGAAGTCCTCAGTCAGAACGCATTGTGATAGTGTTTGCTGTGAGAGGAAGGATGAGGTGCTTCAAACCAAGATACGAGCTGCGTGACCAGTGGCTGTTGAATATGACCATGCACCATATTTACTTCTAATTGGTATGGGGGTCTAAGCAAGAAATCAAAAATAGATAAGACAGTTCTACAGATACTGTATACAGATTTTTTTCCATTCATGCAACTTTTTTCTTAAAAAAAAAAGTTTAACATGTGAGGCCAAAATGCACAATACATTTTTTTTAAAACATTAAACTAATTTCTCTGGCCCTCCTTCACATCGGTTTACATTTCCCGTGTACATGATGTGCTAGAACTAGTATACAGGGGAAGTCTGATTGCCAGGCAATGACATCCTTTGGGAGATGTGAGGGACCAGACACATGGTCTCTTAAAAGCAGCTACACGGATTATTTCTAGAATGGCAGAGGCCTTGCAACCAATCATTCATCAAAGAAAAACACATACAAATCAGACTCAATTGGAGGGAAATAGGCCATTCACTCAACCTGCATAAAGTGCTACCCACTTGAGCTGTACATCACTGTACCCTTCACACGCTTGGGCAACTGCTTTTGGGATCTTGTCGGATGAGACATGATTCTATGGCAACTTGAATTTGCCCTTGCTGTACCCTGCCTCCCCCAGATCTCCAGGGAGAGATTGGTTTTTTTCGTACCTCTTGACTAGTGATTATGTTTTATGAAAAAAAAATTTTTTTTTTGCTTCCCTTAATTAAAAGAGTATCATTCTGCCTAATCATACAATGTTTTCCAAATATACCAAGGCTAAGAAGATCAGCACGCTGAGTTGCCAGGGCAAAGGGTGGGCAGTCCTTTTGCTTCTACAGAGAAAGGGTAATACTTTATTTCTTCTCATTAGCCCTAAACACCAGAATGTGCATGGGCAGAGATTGCTCAACTGTGGATGGTCTTTTGCAAGATTCAAATGTCTGTTCTTCAGGATGAGCTCACCATCATCAGGTGGAAGGCAAAGTCTGCTCCTCCCTTGCCTGAGTGTGTATAAAAGTTTGGAAGCCACCTGGAATTGCACCTGAGATGGGGCACACCTGTCCCGAGCAGTGAAACACACACACACACACACACACACACACACACACACACACACAATTTCACATGTCATTGTACTGCCAGTCTCATACTCACTCCCAATCAGTGGGGCACCCTAAGCCTGGTGCCCAGTCCTTCTGCCAGGAAGGGACAGGATCAAGCCAGAGTTCTTTCCCAGCCTTAGGACCAGGTATCTGGCTCTGAAGCCCTCTCAGGAACAATGGAGCTACAGAGTGCCTGTCATGATTCCAATATCAAATCCTCTAATTTCTCATCATGAAACCAACAGCTTTGTAAAGAGGCTTATGGGAAAGAAAAGCTCCATAGCACCCTGGGTAGCTGGCATTGGGGTATCAAACACCAGTGCCCAGAATGACCAGGTCAGAAAACTCATTGTCAGGGACCCATGACATACGGAGTGTTACATGGCGGCCAACCACCACTTGGCCCATCCTGCAAACAGGGTCTTGAGAGAGCAGCCAGAAGGGCCTGGGTCCCACCTGCCCAGTGCTGCAGCTTAGGACTAGGCTGGTGTAAGGCAGCCTGGCTGCTGTGTATAGGAGGCCAGCCAAGGGGGGCAGGATCATGGAGAGGCTGCTGTGCTATCTATTCAATGCTCTCCTGGGACTGGCAGATTTCACTGCGTGGTGGCTGCCCGTAACTCAGCCTTGGTGTCAGCTCTTCACAATATTCTATGCTGTTCTCTGAGTTACAAAAAAGAGAAAGAAAGAAAGAGAGAGAAAGAACAAACACAAACCAAAGCATTCTGCCTCCATTTTCCCGACCTGCTCTGTGGCTGCCCTGTCCCCCATGCCCCCACTGTCCCTCCCTCATCTATTTCGGCTTAAGAACTGTGACCTGGTGTCCCGGAACAGTAATATGTTCTGCCTGAAACCCAAAACGCATGGGAAAGAAGAGAGTAGGTGAGATGCTGCAGACTGGCAAGGAATGCAGCATCTTTAAGCTGAAACATACCTGTTGATGGAGGAGGGGGGTTGCCTCTCTGGTTCCCACAGCAACTCCAGGGTCTGCAAAACTGCAAGAGCTGGAAGTTCTTTCCCTAGTTCATCCACTTGTCCTCTAGGATGGAGGCCTTCATCTGGAAGCACTGGGATTTCCCTGGATCTGGTATTGCACCACCTGCTGTCCCCAGCCTCTGCCACTGCCTTTGCACAGCATCCTACCCAGAGCAGCCCTTTTTGCTGATCCCTGACGGCTCTTGCCCATGGCAGGCTCCTATGGGAGTCAAGGAATTGGCTAGCATCATTACCAAGAAACACAGTAAACAGGTCTGGCTCGCCAACAAGCAGAACACATGAACAGGATACATATGCTTTAAAAAATATATACATACTTTTAAAATGAAGATTATAAATGTGTAGCAGTGTAGAAAAGGCTGATGTGCTATTGGCCTACTATACCCACATTTGCACAATGATTTTATAGTCTGGAAAAGGCAGGGCAAAATCAACAGGGCTGTCGCTCAAACACAAGGATCCAATGTGAGGTGGGCGAGACACACTGACAATACCAGATGGAATGCTTATGGTGCAAGGAGGTGGGGTCCACCCCCCACCCAGCAACCCCATGAAGGAGTAGTAAAGCAAAGGTGCACAAAAGGGGGCTCCTGGTAGGTGGGGAGTGCAGGAGGGTTAGGGTGGCATGTGTGTGTTGGTGCCCACTGCTGCGCCATAAGCATCAACAGGCACTTAAGCAAGGGGAGGTCTGTGCTCAAAGAACCGGCCTGTGTTCCTATGCAAAGGGTTCTGCTTTTGTACTGTACATGGTAAAATACATGTATACATTTATATGCCTGATGCTTGTGTATGTGGAGAAGAGAGCCTTTGTGTTGCTTTGGAGGAGTATGCATGTGCTGTGCTAATCGGAGCGCCAGCGCACCTGTGTCACAGGTACCACAGGTGTCCCCGCGACTCTGTCTACAAAGAGGGGGGCAAATAGGATCAGACTTCCCAGGTTCAACAGAAAGCACCTTGACAGCACCGTAAAACTTGTGGAAAACAAAAGAAAATGAAATCCACAGAAGCAGGAGAGTTATAGGAAAAAAAGTTAAAGCTGCCCTATTGTGTACTTTCATTGCATCCCTTGTACAATTCCAACCCAAGCTTATGCATATATGTACACACACACACACGTATGAATCAGTTTGTATGCTATATGCCTCTCACACATTTATGGCAGATCAGATTACACACAGCAGGGCTGAAAACCACCCAGGGTATGAACCTAGGAGACGGGGAATTCAAAGCTGCCTTAGCACTGACTCGGTCTACACTCTTCACACATCTCTCACTGCAAGCTTAATAATGCTCACCTGCAAGCTCATGTCTTCTGCAAAACAGCACAGGACATCATTTTTTGTTTCTTTTCTCAAAACTAAATCCTTTAGTGGCATTTGGCAACAAGTGAGTAGCTGAGCTGATTTCTTTCCTGAATAGAAGGATCCTAGTATCTAACCCACAGACCCACATTGTTCACTGCATCAGCTGAGGACACCCACAGGAGACCTTCCTGCTCTGGCACCTGCAGGCTGGGTGACCAACCTGACTCAGTCCCCGCAAACATGCGGGGCCGGACGCTGTGCTCCGCTCGCCACACCTATGCTCGGCTCAGTCCCGGATGCGCGCACGTAGCAGACAATTGTGCCATTGTTATGTTTTTAAGAAAAGGATAATTTTCTACCCAACAAAAAAGAAGAAAGAAAATCCCCCTTTAGTTTATGTAATGTGCTAGTTTACGAAGTTCTGTGGCCTCAAAAGCATGTGACCCCCAAAGCCATAATGGTAACTGGTAATATCATTTTCCTCCAGCTTTTCAATTTGCCAGAGGAAGGCCTGTGAACATCTGAAAACAGAAATACTGCAAGTTAGTGCATGTCGGGAAAAAAAAAAAACTCAGAGAGTCAAAAGAAAACAAACACAACACTTAAAACATCCCAGAAAACCATGGTGAGAGTCAGTCACCACCAGGAACTCAAGTGGGTGTGCTCAGAAGGAGGGTAGGCGGTGCTGGCAGGTGCTGTCCTCGCTGGCAGGTGGTTCGTACCCCGCCCCCGTCCAAGGAAGGTTTTGCATACTTCATAGAGTTCCATTCCGAGGGCAAGTGCTTCACCCAGGGTCAGGCCCGTTAACAGTCTCTGCTGGGTTAGGAAAATGGCGCGGGAGTCACGAAGGTGTCAAGCTGTAAACGGTATCACTGTTCACTTGCTGAGAGCAGATTTGGCAAAGGGTTTTCTCTGTAGATCTTGTGTCAGTTTGAGGGTCTGGAGGTGGAAAGAGAAGAAAACCCAAGATCATTAACGCTCTCCCATGTGGCAGGAGGGCACACTGGAGGAGCAGCCTGCCCCCTTGCCCCATGGTACTGGGGCACCCTGGCCAAGCTCTTTTGGCTGTGGCACTTGCAGAAGTCTGAACATCAGATGGTGCAAAGCACAGCTCTCACTCACCCGGTTTCCTAGTTCGTCCTTATTACAAATGCTCAAGAGCTGCAAAGACCACAAAGGAAGCGGCGTGCTTTGTTTTAAAAGCTTCACAAAAGCTAGGCACACTATCCATGTGTCAGGGAGCCCTGTGAAGTCAGGCATGTCCAGGGTGCAGGTGGGTTTTGTTCTAGAGTTTGTGACTGAGGTGTCACCTGGGACGTGCACTCTTCTTGGGGAAGCCAGGAGAGCTGTTCACACAGTCACGTAGACCTCTCTGGCTCCTGTCCACCAGCCACATGGATTGAGTGCTCACCACTAATACCCCCAGTAAGCAGGTGACACGAAACAGCCACTTCCTACAGAGGACAAAGTCTGTGCTGGCTGGCTGTGCACGAGCTTCCCTCCACACCAAAGGAGCAAGTCATCTTTAAGTGGGTCATGCTGGCCAAGGGATTTCTATATTAAAAGTTGGCAGAGCAAGAGAAAAAAATAGAATACACTCAGCCAAATAATTATCTACCTTCCCAACCCCCAACTAATAACAAACAATAGGGCATCTGGATTTGCATAAGGCTTATCCGCCTCCATAGTCCTTCCCCCGTCAATCCAGGAAAGGGGCATTTCTTGGACCACAAGCACAGGTGCAGCGGAAGGAGCTGATAGTCTGACAATGGAATACCTCTGGTTATGGATACAGGGCTGGCTGGCACAGAAGAGGAAAACGGGGTTTGAAGCCAAGAAATGGACAGAAAAGCATAGGGGAGTGGTAGCAAAGCATCCTAACCTCATTACCTTCTCACCAGCCAAGGTGAGGAGTGTAAAAAAAGAGAAGTCAGCACTCTCTCTTTATCACGCACATTCTCACACAACACAGTTGTGTTGCAAGCAACTGTTTCGTCTTTGCAGGAGAGGATATATGTTCATCTGCATTTTCTTTCTTTTTTAAAGAGTTATTTATTTTATTGGAAAGGCAGATATACATAGAGGAGGATAAATAGAAAGATCATCTGTCTGGTGGCTCACTTCCCAAGTGGCTGACAGGAGCCAGAGCTGAGCTCCAAAGCCAGGAGCCAGGATCTTCTTCCAGGTCTCCCTTGTGGGTGCAGGGTCCCAAGGCCTTGGGCCGTCCTCTACTGCTTTCCCAGGCCACAAACTGGCACCCCTACAGGATCCTGGCAGATGCAAGGAGAGGATTTTAGTCAGTAGGCTACCGCACCAAGTAGCCTACTGTCCTTGTCTACAATGCACACACATATGTCAGCACTTGTGACGCTGTCCTTGGCTGGCAACCTTGCCTTTTCACTTGGCAGTACTTGCAAAGACAACAGGCCTCCATACTGAGGGTGTTCTGGGCGCATGGTCACACACACTGACCCCTGTCGTAGCCGCACTTGGGCTGCTCTGGTGGGGGCAGACAGCAGGAAAAGGCGGGGGCCTTTCTTCCTCTTTGGCTTTTGTAGAGCTACTGGACGGTATTATCTTGGACAATAAAGTCATGGCTTGCTGATTTCAGAGGAAAGAGGAAAAAAAAGCTGAAGGAGCGCCACATCTCTGGGTCTGTAACAAAGTCAGCCTGCCAAAGCCTGTGTGGTTATTCTAACAACTCTACCTGGGCCCATGACACAAGAGAATGGATGGGGGTTCATGATAACACCCTTTGGAAGGGAACTAGATTGTTCCCTCCCAACAATGCTTAATAAACTACAACTCAGCATTACAATGCAATGAGCCATCAGGGGATTCCAGCCCGAGTCCCAGTGCTGTCCTGCTGGAAGTGCCCAGGGAGAAGCTGTGAAGGATTACCTAATGCAAACCCTCCCGTTGCCCTCCCCCCTTCCCTTTGGGTATTAATTACTCAGCACCTAATGGGAAGTGGCATACTTTATTCCCTGGGGAACACAGGCCAAGTGGGCAGTGTGTTCTCATGCTGACATTAAGAGGAAGAGCAGAGATGGAGGGCACCCAGGACCAAACCATTAACATAGCCTTCTCTGGAGGCACAGTAGGTCATTAGCCCTGAAATCAAGGACAGGAGGCCCACACAGGACCATCTACACCAACAACAATCCCCATGCCGCCTACCCACTCCCTCCCCAAAAGGCCTGGAATCTTTAGGGAATGGCATCATTCAGTAGCAGCAGCAACTGCAGCAGTAAGCCAGCCTCTGCACCTGCAGCCCAGGGCTGGAGACTGTCCTTTACACTGTTTCTCAGGCACTGCCCGACCAGGGCATGCACGGTGCAGGGCCAGCAGCAGTCTGGGCCCAGAGGTGGCTCCTGTGAATACAGAAAGGACCAATGAATACAAAAAGGCCTACTGCCCAAAGCAGGCAAGTTGACTGCTTTTTGTCTGCAACTGTATGCTGCAATAACAGGGCAAAGGCTCAAGGCTGCGCAGAAACAGAGCTGCCCTTCTAGGTGTGACGCTGGTGACACTGCTTCCCCAGGAAGGGCTGGGGGTTGTTAGACGGGCTTCTAGAAAGAGCAGTCCTTCCTCTGTGACCCACTCTGAGTGGCTCTGTGTCATTTCGTGTTTATGGGACTTGAGTAGAAGCCTGAGAAGGCAGTGGAGTCTTAGTAAATGATGCCGAATGGACACGGAGGACACTGGTTTTCTGGATTTGAAGGACATTCCCATGGTCCTGAAGGCAATGCTGAGGTCTGACGTGTCCGTGACCCGGGAGGCTTGTGTGGTCTGTGCGGGTGCCCTTTGGGTGGACCTGTGTGTGACGTAAAGCAAAAACCGTGCAAAAGAAAAGCAGGAGCAGAGTTGGTGCGAGGACTTGGAGCGGCCCCCTGCCGTTACCAGGCCAGTGCACCATCAGCAAGCCGAAGCTGTCTCAGCTGTCTCAGGAGGACAAGATGCACTCCTCACCCCACCCTGAGATCAGGCTGTCGGGGCGAGGGGGAAGATGACAGCCGAAGCCCGACAGGAGGCCCATTCTAAAAATACCCATGGATGCTGTCATCTTGGTCCCAGCAAGCATGGGTCCCTCTGTAATCTTGGCATCTGCAGGGAAGGCGAGTTCCTGCTTAATTATCACTGCTAAATCACATGATGGCCTGGGCGGGGTAGGGAGTGGGGGAAGGCGATGCCTCCAAAAACTACGTAAAACGTTAACGACCCTTGATCAACTTTAATCTGGGAATAAAACATACACACCCCTACCGCTGTCCTCCCACGACTTCATGCCACCGACTTCCTCAGCAGTATTTTTATCTTCCAGGCAGAGCAGAGAAGAATGAGAACCCGATAGGAAACACGACATGGAAGGGGGAAAAAAGACAGCAGGATGAAATTTTCACTTCCACAAATCCAAGGAGATTATCAACTGCTGTCCTAGTTAGAACTAAAAGATGCTTGCAGAAAGGTTTGTCTCAAAAACAAAATTAAAGTGAAGCACAGCTCTTTCCATTCTTTTTTTTTTAAAAAAAAAAAAAAAGGTAATTTCAGGAGCCAATGCTATGGCATAGCAAGCTAATCCTCCATTTGCGGTGCTGGCATCCCATATGGTGCCAGTTCAAGTCCCAGTTGTACCACTTCCTTTCCTGTTTTCTGCTAACGACCTTGGAAAGAAGTGGAAAATGGCCCAAGTCCTTGGGTCCTTGCACCTACATGGAAGACCCAGAAGCTCCTGGCTCTGAAATTCAGACTGATCTAGCTCTGCTGGCTATACCCACTTGGAGAGTGAACCAGTGGATGGGAGATCTATTTCTGACTCTTCTTCACTCTCACTTTAACTCTTTCAAGCAAAATAAATAAAATATATAAACCTTAAAAAAGAAAAAAGGCAATTTAAGCCAAACATGCAACCTATGGGACAAGCTGGGAACTAAATGCAGAACATTCAAGATAGTGTGCATGGGCCCAGTGCAATGGTTCAACCAGCTAATCATCTCCTTGCAAGGGATGGGTTCCCACACGGGTGCTGATTCGAGTCCCAACTGCTCTACTTCCCATTCAGTTCCCTGCTTGGGGCCTAGGAAAGCAGTGAAGGATGGCTCAAGGCCTTGGGACCCTACACTGGCAAGGAAAACCTAGAAGAAGCTCCTGGCTTTGGATCAGCTTGGCTCCGGCCATTGCATCCATTTGGGACACAAACTGGTGCCCATATGGGATCATGGTGCTTGTAAGAGGAGGATTTAGTCACTGAATCATTGCACCAAGCCTGTGAGACAATATCCTTTACACATTCGGCGTCAAACGTGGAAAGCATGGTAGCAGAGACAGGACACATCGACTTATAGTCCACAGCCAAGGGGCAGAGATTTTCTATATTTTCTGCAGATGTCCTTGAACCACACAGGATGGTATGTGGGTTTTGGGTTGCTGTCTTTTCAAAGAACCATTTTTAAGGCAAAAAGCCATTTAGGGATGTTGGGATCCTCTCTGGCCAAGACCTTGTTGGACCAGGTTCCACGGTTCTCAGAACCCTCTTTGCCTCTGCTCAGCAGATGGGTCAGGTGCAGGTGCACTGCCCAGACTGTTTCCTCTGCACCTATGTGAAGCTTGCTCCTCTGGCCCCGCCCTGGTGAGGCTGTCCTCCCCTGACCTCCTGGGCTACTCACCTGACACCTGACCCCACAGAGCCTGGAATGGTTATTTCTTCAGACTTGGAGCTGCCAAGATCACAGCAAAGCAGTGCTCACTCCAATAAGGGAGACAGATTTCTCCTCTTGCTACCTTTATAATGTCCCAAGTATCTTGGAAAGTTGAAGGTGCAAAAATGGTGCGTGGTAAAAATTGGCAAAGAAGTGAACTAGCCTCCTGGAAGCGTCTGCTCTTCTCTGCCAGCTTCTATATTCAGCACCTTTTTGGTGCTACTGCTTTCATAGTCTATT